AAAAAAAAAAAAAAAAACCATGTAATGGCTCCAAATAACAAAATATTTGCGTACAAACAAACAAGTGAACAACAAAATCAACGAGTAGAATCAATGGAGATGGATTCAGCAATTCAACTCTTCATCTGTCTCAATACAATATCCAAAAACTTCCACCAAATTTTGGAAGAAAAGAAAAGGCTCAACACAACAACAACAAATGTAGCACTTCACTAAACAAAATTATGACAAAACAACATAAAAATAGTGCCAAAACACTATTTTAGCCTTTTCTTTCCCATTTTAGCCTTCAGGTGCACACTTAACAGTACGACTAGCACAACCGTGGACCAAAATAAAATAAAATAAAATAAAATAGTAATAATAATAATAATATGGCACCAGAGGCATATTAATAAAAGATAGGACTACAAATTCAATTAATCTAAAATCTTGCATCAAATCTTGATTAATTTTATTGGGTGTGATGATTATGATGATAATGATGATGATGGTGCAGTGTTTGGAGGGTCTATTGGAAAGAAAAGATTTTATCATCTGTTTGGTAGTAAACTACGTCTCCATGATCGCTAACAAAATGGTCAGTTTGGATGCTTTTCACCAAATTGGGGATTAAGTGAACAGGGATTAGTCCTGATTTCTTGGGCTCTCTGTAGTATTCCCCCAATACCCTCTTTGCTTCCTTAGTCTGCAAAATTTAATCAATCATTAGCCACTTAATCAAATTAATTTATATTGCAAAAAAAAAAAAAAAAAAAACTATCAATCATATTGAGTATATAGAGTATATACAAATCTCATAAAACAATGTATGCTTTTATGAACATATTATAATGTAGAATTGAGGCAAGGTTACATTTACAATTATTAATTTAAAAGAGAAAACATGGGTAAGGGCGGCTATAGTCCTATTATGGAATCATTCTGTTGGAATTTGTAATCGTAAAAAGCACTTCTAAATTAGTTATCACATGTATCTAACGATCATAAATCTCAGCGGAATAGATCTGCAACGAGCCTCTAAAAAAGCATATAGTAATAAACAATGGGACATGGGCACATAGGGAAGATAAAAAATGATCACGTGATTAGGGTTAGGTGAAATGAGATCTCACTCACCGCCTCAACTAAGTGATAGTGTGGAATTTGAGGGAAGAGATGGTGAATGACGTGGGTCCCAATATCATGGTGGATTCCGTTAAATATTCCGTAATCTCGATCTACCGTCGTTAGTCCTCCCCTTAAATAACTCCATTCCTTCTCAAAAAAACAACAAACAAACGTTAATAAATTAATGGCAAGTGTTAAGTTGGGCCGATCAAATCAGACATTAGGGGGGATATAATGTATTCTTTGGCAATTCTTAAAAGAATTTTTAGGTTTTAAGAATGGTAGAGTATGTAACTTGAATTTTTAAGACTTAAAATTTTAATATATTCAATTTATTTATCACTTAGCTTCTTACATTTGTCTGAATTTTAAAATATTACTCTTAAATTTCTAAGGATTCTTGCTAAATTTGAAAGTTTAGAATGTTTAAGGGCATGCTCTTTACAAATTATATTAGTCACGTTTAATTCATATCAAAATATAACTCAATTTTAACTCAATCTAACTATCATTAATATTATTCATGTAATAAAATAATACAGATTAATTTTTCTTACACATCACATCATCTTTAATTAATTATTTATCCACTTACATAATTTTAACTACCTATTATTTCCAATTATTTATCTATTATTTTTACATCAAATCAATTTTAATCATTTTATTTTAAATGTTATTCACTAACTAGTAACCACATAACTTTTTTTTACTCTAGTTAACAAAAAAATCAAATTTTCATTATTAATTCTAAATATTTAAATTGTCCAAATTAATTATTAGTAGAGAATGGTCGCACCTTTCCTCGGTACCATGGGAGCTTCCTGTCGTGCCCATGATGGTGCAAGTAGGTGACAGTGTCCAACCACGCCACAAATATCTGTTTGATTGTAATAAAATATGAATTAAATCTCTGACATTCGTTAAAAAAAATTAATAAAAAAATTGAAAGAATCGAAGATTTATTTATTTATGGGAATCTGGGATTTGATGGACTACAATTAGACGTGGCCAGGTGCCGGGTCCGGGCCCGGCCCGGCCCGGCCCGCCGGGCCACGGGTCCGGAAATGGTGGAACCGGGACCGGCCCGGTTGGAACTAAGGGCCGGTTCGTAGAACCGGCCCGAACCGCCGGTTCACCGGCCCGGCGGTTCACGGGCCGGTACGGCCCTTAAAAAAAGCAAAAGAAATGACCCGACCCGGCCCGGCCCGGCGGGACCAACAAAAAAAACCCGTGACCCTTAACCGGACCGGATTGGCCGCGGTCCGGTTCTCGAACCCGGCACTGTTCATGCCGGTACCGGTACCGGGCCGGGCCGGGCCGGTACCGGGTCACGGGTCGGGCCACGGGCCGGGCCGCCCGTGGCCATGTCTAACTACAATGATGAGATCTTTTTAGGTGGCAAAATCATGTTACTATGCTATCAATAGTAGTTGAGATATGCTTTTTTTTTTTATGTAAATTGAGATTTTTGTAAGTTTGGTGATTATTGATTTTAAACACATCTTATGTATAAAAAAACATAAATTTATTTTAATTTATATTTCATTTCGTTGAATGATTGACACCCGTATGTATAATTGTGACGTCATCATAAACAGATGTCATTTATTTAGGGAAATAAAATATTAAAAAACTTATGTGAAAATTGAAAACAAGATTGGGAAAATATGAGGAATTATACCAAGTAGGGAACAACATAGAGCTTGATCAATAAGAGTGGACCAATAATGGTGGAGATGTAGAAGAGAAAAGCAAGCATCAAACCCCAACAAATGGTCGACGTCATCACCAGCTTTCTCTCGTGTGGCTTAAACAAGTCGCTGTGTGGATCAAAATGAGATCCACTTTTTCCTGGGCTTCGGTACCACTGCCAACACAAACAGACACACTTAATAAAATAAAATAAAATTTGTACCCAAAAATAAAAAAAAAAAATAAAATAAAATAAAATATACTGAGGGCAAAATATTCGAAAGAGATTGGAGATTCTTTTTATTTTTTAATGATTATATATAATTTTTAGAAACAACCTAAAACAAAGCATAATCATTTTAATATATAACAAGCACGTGCTTGCATAATCGCTATAGTCATAACATATTTTTAAATTGAAATATCATACTTTTTAAAATAATGGCTCGATTTACATAATGATTGTGCGCCCTTATTAAAAAATATAAATAAAATAAATTATTCAGGGTATTTGTGGGCTATATTTGCTTTAGATTAAATTAATTACTCTTTTTAAAACAAATCTCTCCAATTTAGTACTAGAAAACAATCGTAGTCTGATGAGAGTTTTCCTAAAATAACGGGTAAAAGTCAATAAGTACTACCAAATGGAGTACTTAACCAGTTAACCCATTAATTAGCACCTGCTAATGACTGAAATTAGCCAAATTAAGAAGGAGATTATAAGAAATAAATACCAGATACATCGGGTATGCAAACATTGGGAATGGGATTTTGTATCTCAAGAATTTGGTCGAGTAACCCAGCTTTTTGTATAACTTCTCAGGCAGCTGCAAAAAATTCATACACATTTTAATCTCTATTTTGTAAATTTAAAAATCAAATTAAATAATAACACAATCATAATCAAACACTTTCGGAAAATATTACGGTCGCGTTACGGAACCATTCCGTCGAGATTTATAACCGTTAGATCATCACGTAATTGTCGGTATAATTGATCTAACAATTACAAACTTCGAGTGAATAGTTCCGTGACGGACCTAGCATCTCCCAACACTTTCCCTTTTTCTTTTCCTCTTTTACCGAATTAAAAAATATATCAAGATCTGAAAGAAAAAAATAAATAAATAAAAGAAGAAGGTCCAATTTACCGGCACCCATGACTCGTCGTTTTCGACATGTCCATGATTTTGATGGTGGGTCCTGTGGCTTATTCTCCTGTCAAACAAATATTATTTGCCGAAAATGTTATGAGATGTAATTGTAAATCTCGGGAAATCGACTCTACAAACAATTGCTTTTGCATCAATGGCGATTGAACTGACCATCCATGATAAGGCACGAGAATCGAAGAATGTAGGATATGCCCAGCAACATTGTTCAGCGTCGTGCTTTCTGAAAAGCTCCCATGGCCGCTGTAATATAAATCAATCAATCATCAGATTCGTTTTCAATTTTGAAGCATAAAGAAACACAAATTCGATTCGTCAATTAATCAAACAGCATTGAGGAATCCAAATCAGATCAATCGATCGATGAACGTCACCAGTCGTGTCCGAGGACGAAAATCGCCCAGAACATGGTGCCCTGCGCGAGCCAGTAGACCGGCCAGAAGAGCCAGCTGTCGAGCCACACCGCGGCGGAGATCAGCCCGGCAACAGCTGCGGCGTCGCGGGCGACGTAGGACAGCGACCGCCACGGATCCCTGACCCAGCAGTGCGCGGGGATGGCCGCCCTGACGTCGGCGATGCGGAACGGCGGCGGAGCCGCCGGGTCGAACCTCTCGCCGGCGTCGGCCTCCGCCTTCTGCGCCGCCGCGCGCTTCTTCATCAGCTCCCGGCGGCCGCCGTCGATGGCTCCGCCGCCGGTCGCGAAGGAGAAGTGGCGCAGACCTGAAAGAACGGCCATTCTCTTTCTATTTTGTTTTTATTGTTTTCACACCCGATGCAGCGGGTGTGTGTTTTATATATATATAGGGGAAAAGAAAAAAGAGGAGAGTGGTGAGTTTCGACCCAAGTTTAGGTTTGTTGAAGAGGAAATGAAGGAAGTGTGTGGGTGTTTTGAGTGTGGGTGGAGATAACTTAGTAGAGGTGAGCATTTTATAGACATGTTTGAGTGTTTTATCTCCAATTTTCTTTTCTTTTATTTTTATTATAAATACTAAATGATTTTTGTGGACATGTGGATTTGAATTACAATAAATAATTTTCGACAAATAATGATTTTCGTCTGCCTAACCGTTAATCAGTCATAGTTTCTTATAAAAAAAACGCATACTTGTATTATAAAATGAAATGTCGTATTTTTGATTTATTGAATTTTAAACTATGACATCTCAATATGAACGTTCTTTATAATTATTGGAACATAATTATTGTGTTAGGCTGGTTAAATTAGGTCTGCTGCACCTAAAAATGTCCGATCACAAAGCTCTCCAAAATACGTAAACCCAACATGCTAAATGTTGACGATCAAAATAAGTCAACAGTTAAAATAATGGTTTGATAAAGATTTAGGATATATAAATATTGGAACAAGAAAGTTTTAAGAAGAAAATTAATTTTATTGCTTTTATTATAAGGTCGGCCTATGAAGACGAGGTCAACTCTTTGAGTACACTTGGATAATTACAATTCTTGTTACATAGTAAGAGTGAATCTATACTTATATAATAAGGCTGGATAATTACAATCTCGTATATTTTTCTTTATTAATTTATATAATTATAGGCTGCATAAATAGCCTTAAAATTGTACACTCGTGCATCGCACGGACTCTGTACTAGTAAATTAATAAAACGGGACGGTAAGGTCTTGATCAAAAGCCGAAATAAGCACTTAATGTGGGGAGAAGAAATAAATACTTTTTTTTTTGTACAATGTGGGTGAAAAGGAAAGCCCATATGAAGCCCAAATGAGGTTCCATCCCAAAACCAATTGGTGAAAGGAAGAGTAGCTCATTAGTCTTATAAGGTGGGTCTATTTTCCATGTATGAACAATGTGGGACAACTCACAAGTGATATTCTAACACGCCCCCTCACTTGTGAGTCCTGATATCATGTCTCTAACCCAGGCACAAAGTGGGATCTGATATCATGTTTCTAACCCAGACACAAAGTTGGTCGGGGTCTGATATCATGTCTCTAACCCAGGCACAAAGTGGGCTCTGATATCATGTCTCAAACCTGGCTTTGATACCATGTAAGAAACAGGGGGAAAAGGAAAGCCAATATGAAGCCCAAGTGGGGTTCCATCCCAAAACCAATTGGTGGAAGGAGGAGTAGCCCATTAGACTTATAAGGTGAGTCTATTTTTAATGTGTGAACGATGTGGGACAACTCACAAGTGATATTCTAACACGCCCCCTCACTTGTGAGTCCTGATATCATGTCTCTAACCCAAGCACAAAGTGGGCTCTGATATCATGTCTCTAACCCAGACACAAAGTTGGTCGGGCTCTGATATCATGTCTCTAACCCAGGCACAAAGTGGGCTATGATATCATGTCTCTAACCCAGGCACAAAGTGGGCTCTGATACCATGTAAGAAACTGGGGGAAAAGAAAAGCCCATATGAAGCCCAAATGAGGTTCCATCCCAAAACCAATTGGTGAAAGG